TATATGTTCCATTCTATGCATCCAATGAAGTGGGCTGTAGCCCACGAAAGCTTATGCTCTAATAAATTTGTTAGTCTCTAAGGTGCCACAAGAACTCCTGTTCTTTTTTCAATCAGTGTTTTTATTTAAATTTCAGTGAAAACTGACAGATATTCAGATCGAAGCATTCCTTGCAGCCTCTGGAGGAGTTTCACGCAAACATTCGTGTTGGTTGGTGCATCATCATCAGCATTGTTGTAGCTGTGGTAGCGCCTTTCTCTTGCAATTTCATACCTCCCTTTTTGCACTTGTGCTTTAGTTACAATTTCCAGCAATACAGCCAATCTTACACTGAAAACAAGCTGAAATGCCAGTATTTTTCACTTCCAAAATGACCTAGTTTTTGTTTGGAAACTGGCTTTTTCCTTAATGATAAATAGGCCAAGAGTTGGTGAGAATATCTCTGAATTTCAGCAACCTTTTCTGTTAGAATGGGGTCAGTTTCCAGTTTGAAATGCCCCCAAACGATTGAATGATAAGGAGTTTATTTCATTTTATCCTAAATATTTTACGGGCCTTTATTTCGTGGGAATGAGCTTCAGGGTATCTCGTAGTTTATCTCATCCACTTTCCCTATTCTATTCAGAAATATTAAAATGCTTTAGAAAGACAATGTGGGTGCGGTAATACCTGTAATTGGACTAAATTCAGTTGGTGAAAGATTCAGGCTTACCCAGAATTCTTCTTCAGCTATGTGTAAGCTCAGAAACTTGTCTCTCTCTCTCACCAACAGAACTTGGTCCAATAAAAGCTATTACCTCACCCACCTTGCCCCCCTAATATCCTGGGAACAACACAGCTACAACAAACTCATTGGCTCACATTCTCCGCCGTGCCCAGTTTGTGCTGGGTGTAGCTGAGGACGGTGCTGGGACCATCGGGGAATCAGCCAGCCATTCCTCTTTGCCTGGTACGCTCTCTACAGCGACTCCACATCTGCTGGGACTCCAACACAGGAATCCCTAGTTTGGAAGCTTTTTGGCCCCTTTGCCCCATCTGAGGAGCTGGATAGGAAGAGAGAATCAGGTCTGCTGAGCCTGATTCCGCTTTCTCACACATTGATGAAAGTCAGGAATAACTCCAGTGTGAGGCCAGAATCAGGTGCTGTTACTATGGAGATGTAGCTCAGAGAGAAAAGGGACAAGAGCTTCTCATGATCCAATCTGCTGATGGGGTGTGGATAGGCTTCCCACTGACTAAGGCTCTGAGGGTACGTCTACACAGCAACCACCCCCACCCCAACCCCCAGCAGCGAGTCTCAGAGTCCAGGTCAACTAACTTGGGCTCATGCTGCGGGGCTAAAAGTAGCACTATAGACATTTGGGCTCGGGCTGAGCCTGCGGGACCCTCCCCACTTGCCCGGTTCTCAGAACCTGGACTCTCTCATCTCTCCTCACAAGCCCGAGTCAGTTGTTGGAGGAGCTAAGACTCGCTGCTGTGGCTCTGATTTCACCGTGTAGACATACCCAGAGGCTCATCTCTGCCCTCGCTCTCCCGTGCTGGGAACAGAATTTGTGCCTCCTGGGCTAGGTTTCCTGAAGTAATGCCCAGCCTGCTGATTCTGTGGCTTAGAGGAGTTTTACTTACCTTCCAGCCTGCTCTCACCCTTTTACAAGGAATTTGAAAACTCGCCCTTTTAAACATGCTCAGTACTGTATCTGCACAAGGGAGCGCCTCTGTAACCTGAGTGCCCACCTGTACAGGCATCGGTCAATTACTGAGGAAGCACCCCCTCTCCTGCCTAGGCCAGATCACCAGATCCACTCTCAGGAGGAAGGGCTGCAGGATCAGGCCCTCTGGACGGTCTCCAAACAAGCAGCTCTTAAAACCAGTCCTACATAATAACACTTAGCTCTTCACACACAGCCATTAATCCTCTCAACACCCATGTGAGTGAGGTAATTATGGTTTATTATCCCCATTTTACAGCGGTGAAATTACCTGCCAAAGGCCATACAATGAGTCAGCAGCACGGCAGGAATTAGAGCTCAGGAGCTCTCCGCTTGTTCCTCAAGACCCACTAAAGGATCAAGAAATTGCTTCTCCAAACTATGCTCGGACATGCCAATCCAGCAATTAACAGGAGGGAGTCAACAACATGTGCTATCACTGAACCATTAGATCTATCTATCTATCTAGGACAAGGTGCAAGAGGTAATCTCTTTGATTGGACCAAGTTCAGGTGGTGAAAGAGACAAGCTTTTAAATTACATATAGTTCTTCAGGTCAGGGGTAGCTTGAAAGCATGTCTCTTCCATCCACAGAAGCTGGTCCAATAAAAGAGATTATCTCACCTACCTTCGCTTTCTCCTACATTGTGACCAACATGGTGACAACAACTCTGAAAACAACAAAGGAGGGTGTGTCTCTCATTACCATACTAACTGCACACCAGGGTCCAATGGGACTCTCTGTTCTTAGTACCTCATACACAGGACCAGATCCCTACTCCCTGGCCCAGCCTCTTTGTACTGCGAGAGTGGAGTGAGCAGCTGGGGCTCGTCATTTTATAAGAAAATCCCTGGGTGACGTAGAGTCAGCTACGTTGGCTTTGTCCCACCTCTTTCTGGCTCCCCTCCAGTGCTGGTGGTATGATAGGGGCATGGCTGGACCACCTGAAACGCCAGTGATCCAGGACCAGTGGAAAGGCCCTTCGGTTTCCATTGCAGCTGGTGTAAATTAGAGCCACCCTGAGGCTGCTCTAACTTATGTCCCAAGATCAAAAGAGAGTGGAGAATGCTCTAAACCTGTTGCCATCTTCACTGATGGGTCCTGCATTGAGTGTAGCTTGGCTAGATGCGGCCCTAAAGGTCCACTTGTGTCCCTGACTGTGCATACACAGCTCCCCACTGCCTCTCCTGACAGCTAGTCTGGTGTTGCTGAGGGCAGAATCTGTGTTCCTTATTGTCATCATGGTCTGGAGGCTGGTAATATCCTCTTCACTGCCATTTCCCACGGCTTTGTAGCCAAACATATCTTACCCCATTGTTATCTACAGCCAACTTGCTGCAATGTATACTTATTAATACCTTGGCAACATTGCCTATTGGGTAAAGCATAGAACTGAGCATCAAGAGATCCCAAATCTTCTAGAAATGCCCAATGTGACGGTTCAGTGACTTGCTTCAAGGTCACAATTGGGCATTTGTAGAAGAACTGGGAATCTCTTAACTCTCAGTTCTGTGTTTTAACCACTAGGCAATACCTCCATTATATTAATATGCATAGATTGTTCAAGTACAGCAGCACAGTGGTGCAGGGTCAGGTAACTGTGGGGCTGCTGCTCTTAATATGTGGCATCTCAAAAGGACACCAAATGCTCTTTATAAATATAACTGGTTTATAAACTATCCATGTAGATCACTTCGTACTCTGTGAAATGCAGCTACCTCTGGGGTGAAATGTGGCAGCTACTTAACAGCACACGGCAACAATCTGCAACCATTTAGAGTGAATGTGAATAAGAATGCCATAGCAAACCAAAACTGCAGCAAAGAATTGTAAATAGGCAGATTTCATTTATCCCTACTGGTGCCTACCCAGGACTTTGGGGTTAATATCGCTTATGAACTGCCATGGGATCATGGATAACTACAAGTGGCCCTGACCTCAGCTTTTCCATCCCTACCAAAAGAGAGCATCTTCTCTAGCATGGTGACCCTTCCCTTAGTCCCATGTGGGGGACTGGCTGAGTACTCACTAAGAAGGAGGTAGCTAACATCACCTCTTCCTGCAGTTGCCACAATCTCCCTCCCCAAGAGCTGCTCTAGCCAGACTCTGCTAAGCTGGAGATCTGCTGCAGTCCCAGCTGATGGCAGCATGGATGTAAAAATCCAAACTGGCTGAGAGCAACAGGCACCAATCAATTACCATCAGCCCCTGCCAGATCTCCGAGAGCCCTGTCACACATACTCCAGGATCACCACCAGCACCACACAGAGATCGTCAGGGTGTGAGCATGGGGCTGAGTCACAACTTCATGCTGCCCTGAGGGGCCCTCGTGCCTCTCTTATATAATTCACAATTTGTTTACTTCTGTTGTGTTGGAGACATTAATGCGACACACGTGGTTGCCTACCCACAGGAAGTGCCCGAGAGGCAGACAGGAGGATGCCACTGGTGACAATACCAAAGGGCACCAGGAGTGGGGTTCTACAGCTGTTCTCTTGAGCTGGGCTTTGTGCTTTACTTCATCCATGGGGAGACACAGTGAGCAGAGTTGTGTGGTTGCCCCCTTAGGAAATACATACACGTGTACAGTCTGCCAGGAAAGAGGGAGAGAGACTCCAGCATCGATCCCTACTAAGGACCCAACTCAGTGAAGCACTGAAGCCTGTGCCTCACTTTAAGCATGTGAGTTTCCCATTGAGGTCAACAGGACTATTTGCATGCGCAGAGTTAGGCCCGAGTGAATACCTTACTGAATAAGGGACCGACTGCAGATAATGACAGGGCAGGAAAAGACTACTCTGACCCTCCACCGACCTCATCTGTGAGGGGCTACCCACTGCATCAGGCCCCACTAATATCCTGTCTGACCTGGCTGGGAATATTGGCAGTGAAAGAACTTCAGCCACCTCCCTTGTGAAGACCGTCCCCGCAAAGACCTAGCCTCATTTCTCCTTCCTTAACCTCAGAACATTGCTCCTTGTATTGCCATTTTCTAAGGCTGGGAAGCCTTCACTACAGCATTCCCCTGAGGATATGGAAGACGATCAAGTCCTCCACCCCGAGTCATTTGATTAGATACAGTTAATTCCCTCCAGCTCTTCTTACGGGCGCCTCCTGCTCCTATGCACAAAACACCCTGGAAGTCGGCACCTGCATCGTGAGCATGGGCTCAGAATCGCTGCCTCCTTTTCCAGCATTTGCATCCTTTTCTAGGAGTCTTCCCTTGTAGCAACATTTCGTATAGCATGAAAGAATAAATATCAGCATGGGACGGAGTTGGCCATTTTTACCTTCTGCAAATAAAGAATGGTCCCTTTAAGCACAGCATAAAACTTCTTCCATCCTCTTCTTCCTCTTGGGGCTAAAACAAAGAAAAGCAGCTCATTACATGGGCCTGTTAACTACAGCTTCCTCTTCCTCACTGGTAACGCCGAAGGGCACCTGCCACATTACTTGTTCTGTAGGGTTGGAGTTGGGGGCCTGGACAGAGTAGCTCCATGGCAATGCCTGGCACTACAGAGGGGGCGTTCATCCTGGGCAGGCGGCAAAGGAGGGGGGCTCTGCGATGATGGGTGAAGATGACAAATGTGCCCTGGTGCTTAGTATAGGGCTGCTCAGAGAGGGGAGACCTTGGGCCATAACCTTAGGTATTCCTGGGGTTTTAATGGGTCTCAGTGACTAGGCCATCCATCTCCATTAACAGAAATAATCCTCAGTGGTTTTACTAATTGCCGGTAATCAACTAACAGATTCCAAACACATTTCCCTGTATTTCTCCTGCGCTCCCATTTCACCGCAGCATTACTTGGCATCCAGTTGCTAATGGAGCTCAAGCATGTATAGTGCAATGGCAGAATGGAGATGGGCCAAAGCCGCACAGTTGAGACCCTGCATCCACACTCTCCCCAGGTTGAGAGGTCTGTTGGGTCTGGGGTTTCAGCTGGGCTCATGCTAGAGAACGGATCTGGGTCTGGACCTTCTCTATAGCTCAGGGTGCTGGGATCCAGAGTTTGGGCTAAGCCCAGTATAAGGATGGGGCCAGCTGCAAAGCTCGGCCGTTCCTGATGCCTGGGGGCAGCTGGTGGCAGCAATCTGATTTTGACCCACCCCTTTTAGAGGAGTGTTTGGGGCTTTATTGGGGCTCTAATTATGGGGCCAAGCGTGGGCTGGGATGGAGATACTCAGCCCCACTGCAAGCCCCAGGATGTGGGGACATGTGCTCATTGCTATACCCCTGAGCATACAGAGCATTTGCACCTTTCTGTGACCAGCCAGGTCTGCGTGCCCCACCTACTCCCCTATCCCAGCTGGTTAGCATCGCAGGGAGACAGAAGAGGGCAGGGGCTGCAACTATGCCCTCCCTGAATGTGGTGCTGCCAGGGGAGAGCCCCTGGCTCGTGCAGGGACAACCATCACAACTCCCTTTGATTGCGATTTTACCACACCAAAGAAAAAGCAAAACCAGAAAAGGGGAGTGAAAAGCACTGAAATTAGGTGGGGAAAGTACTGAGCTGGATGGCAGAGTTCACCCCCTTGCACCAGGGGAAATATACCACAGCATAGCCCTATGCACCACTGAAATCCTCAAAACAGGACTGAAGTGGTGCATTGGCCTTGACTTGGCCCTCTGCACTGGGACACCCAGAAGTCAGTATATGGGGTCCTGGCTACCAGCCATGCAAACCAGCTAGGTTTATCTCTCTGCATACTTGTCTGCGGCATTCACCCAGCTCTGGTCTTGATGCTAGACCCAACTCTTACTGCATGTCCTGGTGCTGTCCTCTCTGCCCTAGGTGTCCCTTACTGGCATGTCACGCTACATGCTGCACTTCTCTTCTAACACATACTTCTCTTCCCATCTGTATCAGCATGGGTTTTCCGGGTGAGGACGCCGTGCTTATAGGTAATTGCATTCAGCGCCTGGGGAATGTCCAGGAAAGGATTGCTGCCGTCTACGATCCGCGTCACTTTCTTTGCACTGGCTCCTAGTTTGTCGTCCACGAGTTCCGACAGTGATTTTCTCAGCTCATCCTCGTCACTTGGAAAGAAACCCAGAGAAAACCTTGAACAAAGAACATTAGTCTTTGACACTATGTTTTACCTGCTAGAGGGACCAGGCCTTGGTTCGAGCAAGTCACTCATTACAGTAGCGGTAGAATACAGCGGTAGAACCAGGTTGTTATATATTGAAAATCATGGTGTGCCAAGTATTGTAATATGTGGGGTCAAATTCTCCTCTTGTGAGCACTGCTGCAGCCCTGTTGACTTGAATGGCATTGAACAGGGCATAACGGCGAGAGGCATTTGACAACCCATGATTGTTCTCATTGCAGCTTTGTGACATTACTTAGTCAAACAGGAGACATCATGGTTAATGCTAACAAAGCATATGTGGAAGGGAGATTTGGCCTAGTGCTTCAGGGCTTAGGCCCGCTATTAGAGTCCTGGGTAAGATCTAATGTGGGAGGCAAATTAGCCCAAGTCAGCTACTGTGGGGTTCTTACACCTTCCGCAGAAGCATCTGGGTACTAGACTAGACAGATCTCCAGGCTGGCGTAGAGTGGGCTGGAGAACATGGGGCTAAGCCAACCTGATTATGGAATGAGGCTCACCAGAGAGCAGAAAGTGACTGGAGCAAGAGGAATGAGAGCCAAGCTCACATGGTGATGGAGCCCAGCTGGAGAAAGGGCTGCAGGGAGTCGAACAGGACACTCAGAGGAAGGAAAGCTCTCCAGGAGGGAGCCCCTGGGAGAGACCTTGATGGAAGCAGGGACTGGGAAAAGCTCTCCACGCAGGGAGGCATGGGTAAAATCTTGACTAACCAGGGAAGTGACTGCGGGGTCCTACACTGCAATTAAACACCTGCAGCTGGCCTGGGTCAGCTGACTCGTGGCTCGGGCTGTGGGGCTATAGAATTGTGGTGTAGCTGTTTGGGCTTGGGCTGGAGCCCGGGCTCTGGGACCACCCCAGAACAGCCAGTGCCTAAATGGCACAACTGGGCCCACTACAAATTAGGCTGGGGCCATATCAGAGTTCAGATGTAAGCTATGCAATAATGGGCAAAAAGAGACTTCAGCTCGCAGGGATGTCACCAGGGCATCAAAGTATAAGAACATCAGAACCTAAGAACGACCACACTGGGTCAGACCAAAGGTCCATCTCTCCCAGTGTCCTGTCTGCCGACAGTGGCCAGTGCCAGGTCCTTCAGAGGGCATGAACAGAACAGGTGACCATCAAGTGAAGTATCTGCCCCCTCCACTGGCTCCTCTAGCAAATGGCCAATGCCATATTGTCATTGCACCAAGGGGTGTCATGGGGGCACTGGGGCTTTGGGTCAGGGTGGGGACACGGCCCTTGTGCCCACTACATTTCTCACCTGGACTTCATGGCTCTCCTTCCAGGGGCTGGGTGGAGCTACTTGGATGTGATAGTGTGTACTGCACTAACACTCTTGTGAGGCACTGTGGAGAGGGATCTAGCTAAGGGCATGGGCAGAGGGGGTCAGGTGCCCGGAGTGGTGGGGAATGATCTGGGGTAGTATCTGACTCATCAGTATCTCTGAGGATGCAGCAGGTAGCCTGGCGCAGAGGGTCTATGTTGCCCATGTGAGTGTCTGTGCTCAGCACTATGGCTGTGTGATGGTACCTTATGCTCCCTGCTCCAGGCAGTACTTGTGTTAGTGCAAAGGAGGCTAGAGGTCTCTCATGTTGCAACCAGCCTGTCTGCAATAAAGCAAGGAGCCCTGCAGCCAGGCAGCATCTGCTTCCCCTTCCTCCAGGATCTCAGGCTGATACAGAGGGAGGAAGGAAAAGAGTGCATGGAAATGGGGGATGAAGGGGTGGGAGGAAGAGATCTATGAAGTACCAGCTAAATCGGGCAGGAACTGAACTGTCCCAGCCTTTGAAAGGCTGGTGCCAGGGGGCTCTGTTCTCCCTACTCACTGTGTGCAAAAGAGGCTGTGCGCATGGTAATCCAGCGTTTTGCAATAACACGATAATCGCTTCGCTGTCTTCAGCTGAACTAGCTGCACTTTCTCTGAACTCTCTTATATAAAATTTCCTGCCAGATGCCAGTGCATTTGAGCAGCCTTACTGGAGCTAGAGGGCTCCCTCTAGTGGCTGATTTACAGCAATACTTTGGCTTCTTTGCTGACCATTGCCTGCAATGAAGTCAATCAGGTTGCTTTGACCTGGTGGGATTTTGCTCTCTCTCTCTCTCTCATTTATTTAGGATTGGATTTTCAAAAGCACCCAATAGAGTTCAGAGCATAATTTCCATTGATAATCATTGAACACTTAGTGGGATAGGACCAGCTACATAAGAATGGCCATACTGGGTCAGACCAAAGGTCCATCTAGCCCAGTGTCCTGTCTTCCGACAATGGCCCAGAGCAGATACTTCAGAGGGAGTGAATAGAATAGGGCAATTATCAAGTGATCCATCCCCTGCCATCCAGTTCCAGGTTTAGGACTGGTAGTCAGAGGTTTAGGAAGACCCAAGCATGGGGTTGCCTCCCTGACCATCTTGGCTAATAGCCATGAATTTATCTAATTCCTTTTTAATTCCAGATATACTTTTGGCCATCACAGCATCCCCTGGAAATGAGTTCCACAGGCTGACTGTGTGTTGTGTGAAGAAGACCTTCCTAATGTACTTCCAACAGTCTCATCAGCAGAGCAGGGCAAAATTTTTCTCATGAAACTTTTTTTGGGGAGAAAGACTACGATTCGACAGCACTGCAACATTTTGTGAATTCATCTTGGTTTCTCTGAATTGTTCATTTAGGAAAAAATTCTTTTTCTGGTTTGAAATGACTTTTGTGTAAAAATTTACTTGTATTTTATTTTTGAAAAATTCAGAAATATTAAAAAATGGTCAAAATCCAAACAAAATGTCTTGTTTCACCCAAAACAGTTTCCCCCATTACTTTTCAATGCACCAAATTTTTTTAAATAAATATTTTCTGCCTGCGGCAAAATGACTTCCCCCCACCCAACTTTTTCAAATTGCCAACGAACTGAAAAATCCATTATTCACTCAGTTCTACTCATCACCCCATTGCTTTTCAGGAAAAATAAAACTGGAGAAACATTTTCCAGTGTAGCCAGGCAACTGCAAGGCACGTGCAACTGGTGTTGGGAAATGGAACCTCTCGGCCACAAGTCACTTGTGAGCATCTGGCTGCAGCTGGTAGTGACCATCTGATGGCCCCTTTGTGAAATGACTTAGTGGGTCTCAATCCTGTTCCTGATACATAGGTGGACGCATCATAAACACCACCACCACCAGAGGTGGATTAGGGGGTTGTGGGGCCCCTGGGCCAGCGCAAGTGGGGGCCCCTCCCCACCCCTGCTGTCTGTAGTCCTGCCCATTCCTCCTGGTGCTCCTGCTGGGGAAATGGGGTCAGGGAGCGAGGGCTTGCCCTGCTCCCCTCCCACCCAGTATTTTGTGCCCAGACTCTGCTCCCCAGCAGGACCGCTGGGTGGGTGGAAGGGTTGGGGCATTGTGGCGCCCATTTTTCCGGGGGGCCCCCAATTGGTCAGGGCCCTTGGGCACAGTGGCTAATCCACTTGGGCACAGTGGCTGGACCACATCGGCCCAGTGGCTAATCCATCACTGACCACCACAGTTGGTAATCAACTGGCCCTATAGAGAGACCAGGGACTGACTGGGCCAGGACGAAAGCAGGTCTCTCCCAAAGGACAAAGTGCATGGGGGGGAGGGGGCGTGGACTGCCCAGAACATAGCAGATCTGTGGGTAAATAAAGGGGTTGCTGCTAGGGTAAGAAGAGCCCTAAACACACATGTTTTGTTTTGTTTTTTAAAAAGGATGTTCAACCAGAGTGAGGTCAGGGCAAGACCCACTTCATGGCTCACTTGATTCAGGCCCATCAACCGACACATGAGGTCTCAAGGAGAGGCCAGTGCAGCCTGAAGAGCGTATTTCTAGCACAGCTGTTCCACCCCACCTCCAGCTTGGACAGCTAATATCTATACGCAAAGGATCTTCCCTGTTTTTATCTTGGCTGTTTTTTACCTGACACCCACATCCCCTACAGGCGTGCGAGTTTCTAATGGGAAATCAACCAAGGCTTGGCTTACTGAGCAATATATGGTTCTCTTCCTTTTTTCAATTACACTGTTTGCGTAGCTTGTACAGTAAATTTCCATAATCAAACGACTGTATGCATTGTAATGGGCTGGATGACATTGTGCTCAGGGGGTTGCAGCAGTAATTAATTCTGGTGGAAGGTAGAGAAGTTCTGGTTTCAGCAGCTGTGCACATTTTCCACATGGCCCCATGGTGGCTCTTGATGGGACGTCACCCTGAGCTTGTTTCTGCTAGTTAATCCCTGAGGACAACTGCACTGGGAGTGAGCGCTGCACACACCGTCCTCCACTGCCTGGCATTAATGGCCTGATTTGCAGTGGTGCCGCAGGCTCTCAACACCCATCAAAGCCCACTGGAGCTGCACAAGCTAAGGACTTCTGAAAAATCAGGCTACAACTGCATCAATACAAGAGCCATCAGGAATGGGAGGGGTCAGAAGGCCAAGAGCAATGGGATGGGGATGAGATGGTGCTTAGCAGAGGATGAGACAGGAGGTCTGGAAAAAGAGACGAGATTTGTAATGGGCCTCCCATGAGCAGAACCATGCACCTCCGTGGAGCCTCCCTGAGGTCAATGGGCCTCAGGGATCCAACCGCCTGCAGCTCATTGCAGGAGTGGGGCCTAATGTTGTAACAGATGGAGTTTAAAACAGGTAAAGGGACTGCGGCTGGAGTTAAGGTGTTGCAAAATTATTATTATTATTATTATTATTATTATTGGAGATGATAAGGATGACATTGCTGACCAGGGTAAGTATGGTATTAATTGCTCTGAGACATGTCACTGGCCCTCATGGGATGCTCATGGGTGCCTTCTGCATAGTGATGGATGGAGTGAGAGGCGTGGCTCTGGGGTGAGGAACTGCTGTATTCACCATGGTGCAAGAGGAGAGCACAGCGGCTGTCATCCAGAAGGACAGCAATGACAGCACATGTGTGATACATAAATAAACCCACCCACCAACAGGGACAGGAAGACTGGTCAAAGCCCAGCTTCTGAACTGAGCAGTGAATGTTTATCGTACTGGGGAGCTCAGATCTTGTTTTCTTGGTGTGATGGTCACCCCTCCACATGCAGCTACGTCAGATACTCCAGCAAGCCAATGTGCCTCTAAAGGGGTAAAATCTCCCTCATGCAGAGGGCCAATGTTATGCCTTACCTGTTGCCTTTGCCTTTGTCTTGCGCCGGCCCTAAATGGGGTTGAATTTTACCCGTTCAGAAGCACACGTCCTTTCTGGAGCATTACCAGTCCCTGCGTATGTTAATACTGCACTTTCCTGAAGCTTCTTGAGCTAATGATCCAAGAGCTTTGAAAGAGCCCTTTCGGGTCAGAGGGCACTGAACAGGGATACTTACATGGCCCACTCCAGCTTCTCATTTTTGATGGAGTTATACAGCGTCTGAAACAAGGGCACAACATTAGCTCTTGGCAGCGCCTCCGGGCAATGGGTCCCCTTTGTGGATGCCTCCCGGGCGAAGGCCCTGTATAAGGCCTGTGCTGCAGAGCGCTCTCAGAGCGATGCTTGGTTTCTGCCCTGTTACAGGAGAGCTGTTTGGAGCAGAGGCACAGGCACCGTTTCCACAGGCACTGACTTTGACTTGTCAGGGTGGGTGCTCCACCCCCACTCCACCCCGAAGCCCCGCCCCTTCCCCTGAGGCCCCGCCCTCGCTCTACCTCTTCCCGCCCCTGCTCTGTCCCCTCCCCCCCCGAGGTCCTACCCTCCCTCGGCTTCTTCCCGCCCCAGCACCTCCCACCTGGCACCCTTCCCACCTGTGGCTCACTGCTCTCGCCCCTCCCCCCAAATGCCTCCCGCCAGCCGCCAAACCGCTGATCAGTGGCTGTGGGGCTGGCGGATGCTGAGCACTCACTATTTTTTCCCGTGGGTACTTGAGCGCCGGAGCACCCACGGAGTCGGCGCCTATGACCATTGTGGAGGTGCCTTTCTTGCAGTCATGTAGTGACGCTGGTGTCGGCAAGAGGTAACTGCAGTATTGCTCAGAGGGAGCAGCTTTCATTGGACTCCAGGCTCAGATCATGGGCATGTTACGGGGAGTCATTGCCCCCATAGGGGCTGAAGGAGTTTAATGCCTCCCTGCCTCCCCCAAAGGGCAAGAGCACGACTGGGGTGCTGGCATTTGGAAGGGAGGTGTCAAGGATTCTCCAGGCAGGGATAGACTCCTGGTGATTGTGAATTCCCTGCTGCACCTGTCAGCAGCAGAGCCGGGAAGGCCAGCCCTGCCTTGGGGCCCTGTGTCCCAAGCTGTGACTTTTGTTCATAAAGCACTGGGCTACATCTGTGAACTGGAGTGATTCCTGCATGAACTCCTGCCTTCTCAGAGGCTGTTGGAAGGCTCCCCGCCCAAGGTGAGGGGTGGGCATTTGGAACGACCCAGGTCTAAGAGGGGAGTCCCCACCTCTAGGGTGAGATGACAGAGCCCATCTGAGCCATGGCTACACTGCAGTTCCCACTGGTACAGCTGCACCTATTGGGACTTACAGGTTTGAAAGATACTACCATAGATGAGACGTCAGAGGGGACGTCAGTGTCTGCAGTAGGGGATTTTAGACCAGAATTCCCATTGCTATCACGACTAGCTTAGCCATGGGTGGGAGATTTCTCTGCAATTCCCTACTGCAGGGGTAGTCACCAGGCTAGTGCCTGAAAACCAGGGGATCTGCATTCTACTCCTGGTAAGTCTCTCTGTGCTCCATGCTCCCCATCTGTGAAACGGGGCAGTGATGTGTAACAGCCTCACTGAGGAGCTGGGAGACAGGACTAGCTAGCACTTGTAAAGGCCAAAGTAGTGTTAAGGCAGAGCTGTGCCAGTGGCTGGGTGAGACCTAAGGAATTCCTGGCTCTCTTCCCTGGGCAGAACCTACAAGGAGCTCCGAATACAGGGTTGGACTCACTGGCAGGGAATGTAATAAGGGAAACTGAAGCCCCACATTATTTTGGGTGCATTGCTCTGTGTTCAGATGCAGTGGCGCTGTGGGCTACGTATCTAGTGAGGCAGACAGCTACACTTTGGTACATTACGAGGACAGCGAGAAATCACAGAGTACAAACAAAAGATGGTCCCAGGAAAACGGACCTATTCTGACATGCCAAGTTATCACAAGCTTCTTGTGCTTTCTTAGTTTAGCCAAGACTGCTGCAAAGCTTCAACACTACCCTGGAAGGAAAACGGAAGGTACGTTTGTACTCTGACGGTCGGGACCGCCAGAATTAACTCAGCAGCAAGGGCTTGAGGCGAGGAATCAAGCTAACCAGGTTCTATTCCTGGCTTTGCTTTGTATGAGACACTTTGCCTTTCTGTTTGGTTCCCCTCCTACCAATGGGCTATTCAAATGATTAGCTTTTCAGAGCAGAGACTGTTTTTCATTATGTGAATGTACAGCACCTAGCACAATGGGCCCACCTTGGAGATGGTGCCTTTAGGTGCCACCCTAATAACACTAACATTGATATCACATTACCTTCAGCAGATCCTTTGCAAAGTCCTTCCCATCATTTAAGCCATCCAGGTTTGCTATAAATTGTTGGCATGACATCTTCTTTCCAATATTCTGCAATGCAAAGAAACAGAGCATTAAACCCCTGGATAGCTCCCAGTTTAATCAAACTGCTTTGAGCAACTGATTGTGTCTATTAGAATGGGACCTGATCCAACAGCCTAACGCTGAACACCCGTGAATGTTGTGGCTCCTCTCTTCTATAGAGGTTCTTCTGTCAGGCTCATCACTGTGGTATCTGATGTTTGCAATCTGAACCTGGCTCCACATTTTTCAAATCTACCCTTCTCCCCACACCAATTCGGCAGTGTTCCCAATCCAAATCTGGAGCCGGCCTTCTAACATGGGCTTACCTCTGGCAATCACACATTACTGAATCCAGATTGAGAGTCTGACACAACAGCTGAGTCCCCAAACCCAGGTGCTCCTACTGTAGCAAATAACACTGGGCTTGATTCCCTGGAGACAAAGTAGCATAGAGTGGCTGTGAAGTGTTTGACTGGAGGGCTGGGTGGGTTATTTTTAGCAATTTTTAGGTAGATGTCCAAAAATCTGGGGGGTTCTCTTGGTATACTCTGTAGTGAGTACTGTAATGTATATATAGTATGTACTGTAAAGAGCGATCTGTTTGTAATGTTCCCAAGGGTGCTTTCACATCAGACCGTTTCAAACAGTCCTATGTTAAAGTGCACTACACACCAGCAGGGTCAACAGAGACCAATTAATGACCAACATGTTTGTGGGCTTTGGAAATCACACTCCCCTAGTCCACGTTACTGTTCCGTGTAGACAAGCCCTTAGACACAAGTACCCAGTTTTGGTGTCTTTTCAGTATTTCTTGGTTAAACACTGCTTTCATTTGCTTTGTACTGGGGGTGTTTTTCAGTTAATACCTAAAACCAGAAGTCCTAACAAGGCTTTGCTATACTATCAAAGTAGTTAAAGCCAGCACCCATCCTGGGATGGAATGAGAGGGGTGGCTCTGGGGTGAAGAACTGCTGTATTCACCACGGTGCAAGAGGAGAGCACAGGGGCTGTCATCCAGAAGGACAGCAATGATGGCTCATTATGTGTGATCTGTGGGACCCTGCTTACAGTGACCAGGGTGAATCAGTGCAAAGTGAGGTGGGTTCTGGCGGTCGACAGGGTGGAAAAGAAACTCTAAAAACAAATGAAACAAGCACCTTCCCCCCAACCCTAGAAATGCTCCCCATGCACTAGAAATGAACCCTCAATTGGCGTGAAAGCCCATCAAAAAGCAAAGGAGGAGGCCGACTAGGATGTGCTGACTCCCTGGCAGATTTATCGCTGTGCACAGCCTTCACCGCTCTGCAGCACTGGTTGCTTGCAGCTCTGATGTTGCTTTGTCCCATATCACTAGCTAACACCATGTGGGCAGGCTTTGAGATTAACACGGCTAGCTTTGCCCGCTGCTGCCCCATTAGCCGTGTTTGAATTGAGGACATGTTTCTCTCTGAGTGGCTCTGGTTGCTGGTGCCACATTTGAATGACTCTGTCTGATATTCCCAATTATGCATACTATCACTAGCAGGGTTTGGATTAGTCAACACGCCGGGGAGGTCAGGGGGGAGAGCAATAAAGCGCTGTAACAAATCTGCAGCCTCCTAGGGCTTTGCAGTCGACACCGTGGCTACGCAGAACTCCCCAGCAGCCGCAGAAACACAACTCACTCTTCCAAAAGGACAAGCCCATCTTTGCAAAGGTGGGGGCCTACATTCAGGCCCTTCAGTACATATTCATGGAACTTAATAGGGCCCAATTTTTCCAGCCAGCCGACCACCCAGCAGCCCCTATTGAAGTCTGAGCTAATATTGAAACTTAGGGATCTTATTTAGAAGCCTAACTATAGACACACATATTATAAAGTCTTGGCCATGTCCCTGCTAATAAGTTAACTCTGGGCAGCCTAGGAGCTAGAATGCAAAGCCAAGCAGTGCTGTTTCTCTCCCATAGAGGGCAGTGGGACTCATGCCCACTTGCTAGCCAGGGTATGGCAGTGCTGCAAGCCACCACCTTAACAGAATTGTGCGGATGGAGCTTGGGGGAGAGGCATAATGGACCTCCAAGAGAGGGACCTGGTGCTGGTGATCCTGAGGTGTGGAATATCCTCACCCAGAGAGGGGACGAATATCTCTGCCCACTGCAAGTGGTACCAAGTATCCTTGAATCAGCTAGTGGAGTTTCCATCTGTTCCTGCTTATACGCACAAATGCCCCATAGCCCGGCTCCAGTAGGGAGCAGCACTGGGGTCAGCAGCCATTCTCTGAGCTAGGCAAAGGGAAGAACACATACCACTGCTCTGTCCCCTAGGCCAGGCTCCCATCAACATTAACTAGTATGGACAGGCTCATTAAATCTCTCTAGTGTAATGGGCCAGCATTATCCCTGGTGTCAGTGGGTTCTCCTGCCACTGAGCAGTGCTTGCTCACGGCAGTGTGAGATCCCTGCCTCTTTAGGGTCCCTGAGTCGAAGCCAGGTGGATGTGGACACCACTTGTGGTTTGTTTCCTTTAGAGATAAGTCACAACCAGAATCCTGAATCCGAACCCCAAAGCTGTGGAGGTGCCTGACATCCAAAGCCAGGTTTGATTGTCACACACATCCCCTGTGTTTAGAATGGGCTTTAGAAAACCACCCAGACCCCAAAGACCATTAACTGTGGAAGAGTCTTGCAGCTGGAACCCATCACTACTTCACAGAAGTTGTTCCACATTCGCAAGAAGTAAATACATGTTGTTGCCCGCAGCATCTTCAGGGGCTGAATGCTCTCATGGAAACCACTCCAAAGGGTATCAGATAGTGAACATGGATGCACCAATCGGCTGCAGCTACACTAGAAAAAAACATCATTCAAAATGAGACCAAAGGAGACATTCTTGTGCCACGAAACCTGATTCAGCGAGGTACTTACGCACACTGCTTAACGTGATGCATGGAGTAGTTCCATTCAATATGAGCTTTCACATGCTTACAGTTAAGCACTTTCTTATGTACCTTGCTGAATAGGGTTCTCATTGCATAAAGGGTTGCCTGCAGAACTTTGAAAGAGATATTTCCCTGAGCAGCTGACTAGCCACATGCACAAGGTCAACTTGCCTTTCTATGAAGCCTCAGGCACTGGCCAATGGCAGAAGGAGAAATCTGGGCAGTGATTACTGCTATGTTCCCCTAGGAGAATGAACTTTTACCCAATGCTACATGCTCCTGGACACGGGATGAGAAGTGAAAGATCAGGTCTCTGTGTAGCTCACTCATAGAGTATTCGTTTAGAGCTCATTCATATAGAGTTACCTCCCTGATGCGTGTCTCCAGCATCTGATGCAGTCAAGCATCAGTGACTCCTCTCTGCTTCTCCCACAGACCCGGTACTATCTCTTGATGGAAGGCTGGCTAGGTGCCCTCATTAGGTGGCTCAGTAGGTGACAGAGCTCTGAGCAGGAGGGTTAGCCCAGAGGTTTAGATAAGGAGGGGAAAAGCAAAGGTGCAGTGCAGCCTCCAGATTCAAAAGGCTCCGGACTCAGAAGGAAAATGAGGCACTCTGACACAGCAGGGAGCTGAAGACACTGCAGCTCTCTAAGAGCACTGCCCTCCTCACTTGTCTCTGGGAGGTCTGATCGCATTTGATGAGCTTTAAAGTGATGCCTGAAATTGGCGAACACATCATCTGGAAAGTACAGCATCCTATTACATTCCTGGCCTTTGAAAACTCTTCTCTCTGTGGCTTCACAGTGGGGTGTGGCTTAGTTTACCCAGACTGATTTCTCAGTGCTCACAGATGCTGCCTGGGGCCAGGGAGCTCTGGGGCAGTAACTACTGGATGACAGTGGTATGCTCATGAAACCTAGCATGGGATGGCTGTCAGGAAAGTGTGTAAAGTAGGATGTCACTATGGAAGTGACAATACAACCCGTTGCAGACCAATCATAGCCACCAACACTGTTCCCTCTAAGCTGTGCGCGTGTGTGTGCGCACAGATCCTAAACCCTGTGCACACGGCGAAACACCGCACGCACAAAAATTTGCACAGAAGCACAAAAATTTGCACAGAAGACATTTTTTGCACACACGGCCTGTCAAAAATTAGAGGGACCATTGGCTACCAAGTGGCACTACGTGGTTGTGATGCTGGCAGATCAGATGCCAGCTCATGCCAAGGTCCCCATGTCTCCAATGGACACTAAGATGCACAGCTGGAATCTGTTTGGCTCACAACCAACTCTGTGGGTTAATAGTGGTAGAATAGGTATCAGAATCATAAGCAAGTGTTTGGACTCTATTGAATGCTCGTGAGCTGCTGCCTGCATTAATCTCACTTGTAATGTCTGCATTCCATAGGGTAATGTAATGTTTGAGTGGCTATATTGTGAGCTTCTCTGACTGTCTGAATCGCCAGGCGGGAGAGAGAATTTAATTAGTGTGAAGAGTTGCTCTTCTACAGAAATTATTAGCTCCCTTCCCCGAAAGAGGAGACCCCCTCAATACCAGATGGGCTCGGGTTGGATCTTACAATTGGAAACTCCCTACATCTGGACTGAGAAACCATCAACAAAAGGACCAAAGACTCTGATTGTTTTCTACTCTCCTTCCCATGAAGATGAGTCCTGCAAGTGGATTTCTCCCATCAGCTGAGATTGCAGCTCAGAGTCCATGGCAGGAGGGGGATAAAAAACCCCAAACCAAAGGAACTAAGGATCTCTCTGGTGCTTGGACTCAGGGGTGTGTGTGTGTGGGGGGAGGGAGTCTAAGTGTTTCTAGGCATGAGCAAGAGATCCCCAGCTGCCTAGCCTGGGTTAGCCCTAAAGGTTAAATGGAGCTTGCTGATGACAGAAGCCTCTATTACCTTTAAAACCTTAGACTGTAACTCATTTGTGTGTTTGTTTGATTGCTTGAACCTTGTAAATAACTAATTTCCCTTTCCTAGTTAATAAATCTTCATTAGTTTACTATAATACTGGCTACATGCTTTGTCTTTGGTATGAGACCTAAAGCACAATGGACCTGGGGTCAGTGATTGGTCCTTTCGGATCAGGAATAA